TTCTCCACAACAGCAGAACCCTCAAATGAATCTTATTATATGAAAGTATTGGTTAACAAGGTAAACTTTCACAAGGATTTATAAAGGAAATTTAACCATGTCTTAGTTATTCCCCCAAGCCTTCTTGATTGCTTTGCTTTGAGTACATTTTAGCATTCTAAATCAGGAGCCAGAAAACTCTATGAGATGCTAAATAGTAAAGATTTTAGATTGTAAAGACTATGATGTCCTTATTGTGTTCACTGAGGTTTCTGTCCCACCAGGTCCCTCAGCCGTTCAGTCCCAATGAAACACACAGGAGTCTACATTAATTATAAACTGATTAACATAGTAGCTCAGGCTTCTTATTAATTCTTATAACTTAGATTAGCCCATAATACTTGTCTGTGTTAGCCACATGGCTTGGTATCATTTTGGCGAGGCAGTCACATCTTGCTTGCTCTGTGTCTGGCTTTCTCTATGTCTAAGTGACAAAGGCAGACTGAAACTTCCCTCTTTCCAGAATTCCCGTTGCCCTGCCTCTACTTCCTGCCTTGTTGCCCCACCTATACTTCCAGTCTGGCTACTGACCAATCAGCATATTTTTTAAATACAAGTGACAGGGTACAGACCACTCTGTCCCACAGCATGAATACAGCTACTTATCTCTACCATAAAATAAAACAGCCACAGAGAGTACATAAGCAAATGTTCATGACTATTTCCATAAAACTCTATTAAATAAAATAGGTGACTGCCAGATTTAAACATGGGCCATATTTCATTGACCTTGTCCCTAACCTGTCACTGATTCACTCACGATGACTCTTAGAAAATTGCCAAGTCTATTGTTCAGGTTTTTGAAGTTAGCCCCAGAAAGACTGAAGGCTCTCAAGTCCTCCTCCAAAAGTAGTTTAGTTCTATGCTTTGTTGCTTAAAACATACCTTAGGTGAATTCATCCCCTTTTACATATTTTTAAAGTCTTTATTACATAAAAATATTTCAAAAAAAACTATAGATAAAAAATCATCTCCATTTTGTCCTAGGTATATCTCCATCTTCATGAGAAACTGTACGTTTAGATCCCACAGCCGTAACTAAGGTTAAACAGATGGCTCACCAAGGTACCAGAAAAACAGTCCATATGACTCTGTTGACTAACTTTATTCTTCACTTTTCACAGCTACATAGTAGTACAGAATACTACTATACTGTACCTGCCCAAAGCTAACCTTGGAGGCTCTTTCTTACTCATTATCCCACTATTTAGCGAACATTCCCAGGACACTCTGAGGTGGTTTCCCAAACATGTATTCCCCGATGCCAACTCAAGCAATTGCTTCAGTAGCTCCAGGAGCTTTTAAACTTTACTCTTTCCCTAGTGATGCTGATGGTGCTGAGCTAGAGAACACCCCTTAAGAGCTCCTAGTTTGTATGATGGAGTTTCCAAAGTGCATGCTATTAGGGAACAATGAAAGGTGGGAAGCCACAGCTGTGTCCTTCCTACTTTTTCAAAACGATGTTTACTCATCAAAGGATGAGAGATTAGCTTGTTTTAGTATGGTGTCGGGTGGTGGAAGCACACCTTAGCAACTCCTGATACACGAGAAGGACACCAGTGAAGAGTTTCACTAGAGCATGCTAGGATGGAAGTGCAGCTTGGAGTATAAATAACTATGGAAGATGAGGCATAGGAAACAGGTGAAGAGCAAAAGTGACAGAAATGTCATCACACAATTCTTTTGTATACCCAACCCTCTAGAACGTTCTTGTCCCATAAACACCAAATCAAGACTACCTTTGACTGAGAGTTGACCATTTGTAGACCCAGCCCTAAATCATGCAGATAGGATGGAGAGAATGAGAAAGTACATAGTGTCTTGAAGACTCTGTTATCTCACAAGGTAAGGAAAATTTATACACATTCACACAATTGTTAATAAGTAGAGTTAGGTTGGCAATTAAATAATTAGGTCACATGGCCTGGACTTGGGTATCTAGAGAGTATGTTGGTAGACTATTGAGCTATAGGCAAGTTTTACACGAGGAGATGAAGCCAGATGTCCAGAGTTCAAAGACTAGAAAGACAGAGCCAGAGAAGGTGAGAAAAACTTTCAAGTCAACCTGCATGGGCCCGTCATAGCAGAGACAGCTGGAGAACAAGAAGGGGGGGAAGAAACCTGTTTCTCTCCCTCCCTCTGTGAACCAAGTGACCTCATTTGAGAAAGGGGTGTGCGTGTGGTGTGAATGTTCATGTGAAGGTTACAGGTACATGTGCAGTTGTGCACATGTATGTGTGCAAGTACACAATGGAGGCTATAGGTCAGCTTCCAGTGTTATTCCTTAGGGACCACTGGTCTTGCTTTTGGACACAGGGTCTCTCAGTATCCTGAAACTCACTGGTTAGGCTGGGTAGACTAGTCAGCAAATTCTAGGGATCTACCTGTCTTTGTCTCGCCAAATGTGCAATTATAAGCACATTTCACTGTGCCCAGCTTTTATTCATAAGATTTGGAGAACACACTTGGGTCCTCATGCCTGATCAATGGGTGAGTTCCCAACCCTTCAAGTCACTTCATTTCAGTGTTTCCATTTCCTTCTTTGAAAAATGAGTAATTTGAGCTAAGCAATCAAAAGGCTTCATATTTTGTTATCTTGTGATGACTCTGGGTCTGAGACAGCAGGCAATCAGCTAGCATCAGCCTCTCTACCTGGCCCTCCTCTGCTCCCAAAAGCAAGTTCTACTTTTATTTTTTTCATTTTACATTTTACATTTCCGGTACAATTTTACTCCAAGAAGGATTTGAAAATCACTCAACAAAGAACTCTATGGGATCCTTCCATTAACATATTGATTAGCTTAAGTAGAAATAGAAAGGACCCTGTTAGCACAGGGGACCAACTCCTAGGTTATGGATCAAATCCAACAAGTGTAAAGCACAGAGTAGTTGAGAATGAAGGAGTAGGGAATAGGGAGCCATGGACATTTCATGAGCACAGGAGTGCACCAGCAAAAGAAGTGAAATTTGGCCCACAATCTGAAAATCTCAACTGTTCAGAGGGTTCTAAGAACAAAGGGTGATTTTCCCCCTTGTCAGCCTTCCCTCCCAGGACACTGTACAGTATGCAAAACTGTAAGCAGAAGACAAACATTTTTTTCCACTGCCTCCTCAACCCCACGGGCCTTCAGGAAGACCTGAACTTTAAGCAAAGCCCTTTTATTTTTCAACACCCACAGCTTCCATTCAGCAATCAGAAGTTTTCCATTTTGATCAAAGGGGCTAAACAGAGAGAGCCAAGGGAGCAGCCAGTTCTCAGCAGCCCTGGGCATATTGCCACCCACTCCTTGTCCGTACCCAGCAAAGGACGGGGCCTTCTCCCCAAGTCAACCAAGTGTACCCCCCAAATACTAGCTTACTTCATCCTACAAAAACCATCAGGCAAACTAGTGTAGACAAATATTTCCTCAAAACCTAAACTCAGCTTGGGACCAAGGGGGTTCAGCCTCCTTGACAGTCAAATGCAGAAACTGGCTGGCAAGAAAGTTATTCACCAGTTCATCTCTCATTGCCTCTCCCACTGCTGTGGATTTTGATTTTATGAACCCACCAGAAAGGGTCTCTAGATCATCTTCCAAGTCTAAGCCGCCTTGAAGAATGCTCAAAGAGAGATTTCCAAAGAGCCAGAAAGTTTCAACCCAAGGCTGGCTTTGGGCATGGCATTGCTTTGGGGCTTCTGGTATCTCCCATGGCTCACAGAGGTAGACGACAATCAAAAGGGAAGGATGCTGTCATCACCCAGGGAAATAGAAAATGAGGTTTCTGGAGGTCACATCTGGAGGCAACTATGAAACAGTGATAAGTACTCTAAGAGGTATTCTGAAATGAAAATGGTTGATATCCACAGATGGGTTCCAGCTTTGTGTCCCAGGGACTCTATTTATTATATTAAATTCCAGACATGGCCCAGAGGGCAACTTGGGCTGTTTAACAGGAATTGTTCAACAACAGCTGCCAAGCCAATTCCCATTCAGGAAGCACTCTTACATCATCTTGTTTGATCTTCTCAATGACTGTAAGGCAGAGGGGGTTAGAGCAAGGGCTATTGTGACTTATCCCAGGACCAGCGCTAAATGGAGGAAAGGTTAGGATGGCGTATGAGGCTTTCAGCCAGTAACAGAAGACTCCTGCAGGCTTTCGGGACAATGCTGGTTTGGATACACCAAGTTCTTCCATTATTAGCACTGGGAGGTTGCACTGAGGAAGTTTTCATGCTTGTCGGGCCTCTGTTTTCCACTCTGTAAAGAAGAAATGTTACCTGCCTCTGCGGCTGGTGAGGAGTGTGGAGTCAGCCACTGTACCAAATTCCCAAGACTGTACCTGAGTCAGAACACTGAATTCTAGTAACATCCATGCATGACTTCATCACAAATACATGGAGCACTATTTGCACCCCAGCACACCCCACAGACACCTCACACATATGCACATACATTCCACACCGCTCAGCCTCCCTGTCCTGACACCTCACTAATTTCTTCCTCTTATATGAATTTATGGCAAGCCAGCTCCATCAACAAATTTAACAGACCCCAAAATCACGTTGCAAGAGTCTTAAGAGTTTTAGTTCAAAAGCTAATTGTTTTCAAATTCCAAGTCTCTCACCGTTTTTTGAAACTATCCTCAAATGTCCTACAGCCATAAGCTTGTCACCAGGTAGGTGAGTGTCTACACTGTGGGTGTCTACACTGTGGGCTCTTCTTTACCAAGAAAGGGTGTGTTTCCAGTTTCCAGCAGGCCATGACTGTCAGCGAGTCCTAGCAGGATTGTAGTCTCCCAGGGACCCAGCAAACAGATTAATCTGGAAGCGTTTCGGGGCCACCAGCATGTAGAATGCAGTGTACAGGGTACCCACGGGAAGGCGTTCTGTGGCTGAGCATAAAGGAAACAGAAGTGGTTGGTGCGCACAAATGCGGAACTGTCTTCTTCCTACCGCCCTCTGACATCAGCCATCATCTCTCGCTACAATTTCTCTGCACTCAAATTAATCCTGGGCAATGAAAAATGAACCTCTCCCCCACCCTTGCATCCACCCTTCGCTTCACGCCCCCAGAGAAGAGCTCCTCTGTCCGGCAACTGGTGAAGGCTTTTTTCCAAATCACATGATCCAGGATGCAGGGGGAAAATCCTTCTTGGAACAGAGCTGAGGGCAGAATCGAATCAGATGAGGAGAGATAAGGTGTGATGTGGGGCAGACTATATAAAGCATGGAGCCAGGGCTGCAGCAAACAAGCAGCTGTGGGGCCCTGTCCCCTGCCCCAGCCATGCAGATGCCACCCGACTCGGTGGCCAGCGCCTGGAGAAGCACGAGGTCCTGGAGAAGCACAAGCCACAGATACTTCTACCTCAGCACTGTCGCACTGGTGTGCCTCGTTGTGGCAATGGCCATCATACTGGTCCTGGTAGTCGAGAAGAAGGTGAGTAAACTTGTCTTTGCTTCTCTTTCCTTATTTACAATCTGTGCCCCTCTAGGAGAGGGAATAGAGAAATTGGGAGCAAAAAATTTAAAGATGCAAATAAATAAAACTATGCATATATACAGACGTCGTAACAGAGAAAGGGGAGAAAGAAATAGGAATGAGCTCCCCGCATTAATTTGTAATTTTTTAGAGGAATGTAACTGGACTTGAGCTCAAAAGTTTCCAGATGTACTTGAGCCAAAAGAGCAGAGAGGAACCACTGGACTTGAGAAAGGACGCTAGAAGCCCAGCGAGGCAGAGCCTCGCAGTAGGCAGAGAGAAGTCACCTCTGTAAGGCGTTCAGCCTGCTTCTAGGGTTATGTCCCCAATCCAGGCTCCCAGGACTTCCCAGGTCTCTACTGCAAAGAGGTTGTTGTTACTGCTGGTTTTGGTTGTTGTTTGTTTTTAGTTGTTTGTGTTTTAGCTAATTTTCAGAGACTGTGGTATAGAAAAAAACAAAGGAAGAAAAGCCAAGGCTCCCCCCAGAGCTCTGAGTACTTCAGTGTTAAAACCCACAAAAGAATCAAAAGCTTCCTCACAAGCTTTAAAGAGCCTTGGGTGTTGAAAGAAATAGAGTGGAGGAAGAGAAAATAGCGATGTTTTTTCACCCGCACCCTCTGAGATGCTCACACAACATGCAGAAGCACACTGACTTGGGAGATTTACTTTGTTTGAAATGGGAGAGAGGAGTAAGACAAAAGAACTGAAGGAGAAAGCCAAAATGTAGAAAATTAGAAACTCAGCCTCTAGAAAATACTGTACCATCAACATGCACAACTCACAGGCTTGGATGATAGCCAGTCATGGGGATTTGAAGACTGTATGAATGGCACCCACGTAGACAACTCCCTGGCCAAGTGTGAATGTGTCTGGTATTCTTTCATAATTCTCACTCATCATCATATTATAATATTCTAGACTTTTTTTCTGGATTCTCTTTTTTTGTCTTGGACGAAAGGCTCAGCAACTTTCTAGTTGTTGAGAGAGAACTCGGGCCTTAGTGTCATCAAGTACTGACATTTAAAGGAAGTGTTGAGGTTACTGTTCCGCGGGAGTGTAAGAATGGTGCTGTTGACATTTGATTTGGCTGTCAGGGCTAGTGAGGCTCATCACCTGCTAAGAATGACTCTCTAGACAAACCTTTGGACACCTTCTGGTCACATTCGCTGCTGTCAGTGTGGTTTTACCACAGAAGTGTGCTGTTGTAAAGCAATGGTCAGATAAGATAGACTGCGGGCGCCTTGAGTTCTTCCGTTGAAGGATGCAGGTAAACTGCTGGGTGTGAGGGAGAAACCAAGATGGGGAGGGGTGGTGATGGTGATGTGCCGAACCAGAGGGAACTCTGGTAGAGTCGGTGTGGAAATGATTCCTCCTGTGAACGCTGGTCAGGCTTCTCTCTGCCCTGCTTCTGCAGTACAGCAAACGAAGCCCAGGCAGGGGACAGGGCTTGAAGTCAGCTGCCCTGAGCAAGTGGTGCAGGGGGGACTGCTGAATTGCTTTGGATTGTTCCGTGGGAACACCGCTCCCTCTGCTTGCACTGACGGTGGCAGAAGAGTGGAGGGCCTTGGTTCCCTTTTCTCTCTCTGCAGTTTCTCCTCTAGGATTTGACTTACCTCCATGCCTGGGCAAGGAAAGATGCACTCCACAGTCTGAGTCTATGCTCTGGTGTGCAGTGATTTCCCAAATGGCAGTACTTCATCACAGGCTACGGCTTTCCATCTTAACTCTTACGGCATAGAGAATCTAATGCTTTGTGTATATCATTTCTAGTACATTAACTGTGACAGGACCTAGGGAAATGTGAGGTCCCCAGGCCTGGGCTCTCAGGGATACATCCTGAGAAATGAGAAGGAGGATGGGGACTGTTGGAAACAGGTGGACTTGGCATCTGAAGAAGCTCAGGGGGAAATCTGTCAAAGAAACCAAAGAGAGGGTCCAAAGAGTTCAGACTCAGATCCTAGTATTAAACACGGGCTGGGTGATGACCACATAGCATTCTCTGTGTGCCACTGGGACTGGTTGGGGAGCTGTGAGAATAGAGTCACTTTGCTGACATACATAGGACCACCCGAGACCACCAGTGAAGGGGTGTTTACCCAGCAGACTGAAGAAGAAATCAGTGTCTGGTCAGAGCGAGAAATAGGAACACTTTTCAAAGAATGAATGAAGTGAGGGAGAGTCCTCCCCTAGGACAAAAGCAGAGTCCGAGAAAGGACATGGAGAAGGGACAGTTAAACATGTCATGCGTGAGACTTGGCTACACAGCCAAGTAGCTCCAAGTGAAAGCTCCAAAGGAGAGACAAAAGGGAAACAGAGGCATCGATCTTAGTGTTTATCTAGTATCTGCTTTATACAGGACCCGGTTAGAGACACCGAGTACACAGCTTTAGCCAAAACCTTTAGCAAAGTTCCTGTCTTTGCATCGCTTATACAGCTTTCTCGTGATATCTTTGAAGCCTCCTGCAATATCCATACTTATTTTCCTGTAACAAAAAATTTATTATGAAATACATTTACATTGCTTAGGAAAACTAACCAACAATTAAGGGGAAAGAAATTAAATGTTTCTCACACCTTGTCCTTCTAACAGCAACCGTATTTGCTAAGATGGCTAGCCTGGACAAATTCCTGTGCACTCTTACATAAATATGAGTATCTACAAATACCTAACATACACATGTCATTGTATTCACTTGGTGGTGTATCTTAGAGATCCCTCCATGTCTATATGCAGAAGCATGCTTTGTGCCACGGTAGAGCCACATCTTATTCTGCCGTGCCAATGCTTCATGATTTATCTGTGCCTTGTAGGGGGCTGTTACATTTACCTCCAGTACTTTTTGCCCTTTGTGCATTTTTTCAAAACCATTGTGTGTAAATAAAGTCCTAGGAATGGGGATAGAATGTGTATTTTGTTACCTGAATAAATGTTGTCTATCGGCCTCCACAGAGGTGGTACTATCTTGAGGAAAGGAAAGTCTACTGTAAAAGGCACATCTCTTGTCATCACTATAGGAAGGAAGAAAGAAAAACTGAGTAATTTGAGTGTATGGATACTTTTCCCATAACCTTGGAAAGACTCCAGAGTCAAGATGAACTGTCAACACACAGAGTAGAGCAAAAGAAAAAGTACAATACATCATCTCTTATCTCCCCCGGGAAAGAGGGATCCATGATAGCTCTGGCTCCCAGTCATTTTGCAGACAGGTGTTTACATTTGAATAAAAGCTCTGGACCCTCATCCTTATTCAGTTCTTTGCTTCGTAAACCAGGAGGCTAGGCTTATCTAGTCCAAGGCGAAAGCACACACACAGTCCAGAATGGTAAAGCCAGGTCTCAGGTTGTCCGATTTCCACATATTGTATACCATCTCTAGAAAGAGAAAGCAAGTCAGCCTACCTTTCTCTTTCGAGAGGATGAGTGAGCCTGGGTCGAGAGTGAAGTGGAGCATTGGCACGGGTGTGGTGGTATTGGGAGAGCTGGGGTAGGGCTGGGGCTGCTCAGCAGCTTGTCATGGAACCGTAGGAGGGAGCTGAAGGGCCCTGGGACACTTCTTAAGTGACTCCCTGAATGTGGATTCATTCAATTTAAGAATTTGTTTAACTAATTAAGCTTTTCCTGATGCTGAGAATTTTCTAAGGACCAAGGCCCACGCAAGGTTTTGAAGGGAAGACTCACATGGACAAGTGAGAAAATGAAGCCTATGAACTTGAGCTTCAGGCAAACAAAGAGCGGTGACCTCTACTCAGGATAGGGAAGGAGGGTTTTGTGCAGTGACTAGAATGTAAGCTGAACCTGACAAAATTTAGAAATGGTCTTTGGCAAACATTCAAGACTGGTATCATAAAGCCCATGTAAGCTTCCACCCAAGCTAGTCCAGCATCCATCACATTCATGCCACCCTCTAAGCATGAGAAAGCAAGCTGCAGGCAGGCGGCGGCACTCGCCTGAATTCTGCCGTCCATCTTTATTCACTACGACACCGCTCCTAGAGCAGAGAAAGTTGACACTAACTCTGCAACGCTGCCTAATGACGTCCAATCAAATACAGTCCATATTTCACCCCATGTCTTCTGTGGCTGTTTTGTTTTATTGTTATTTGGGGAGTCTGGAATTCAACCTAGACTCACACACTGTCTTACGTGTGATAACTACATATGTTTAAATCTGAAACATTGTGATTTAATGGGTAGCCCTACCTGGTTGGGCATCACATACCTGTGGTCCTAGCTATTCTCAAAGCTAAAGGCAAGAAGGTCACAAAGTTCAAATCTTCTTGGGTAATTTAATGAGACTCTGTCTCAAAATAACAATGTTTAAAGGCCTACGGATATAATTCAGTGCTAGGGTGCTTGCCTAGTATAGGCAACAAAGCTTGGGTTCAATATCCAATACCACAAGAAAAATAAAATAAACAAGTAAACTAATAAATAAATTGTCCTGCGAGCTTCTTAGAAATACAGACATGGTTTGAGAAATGGTCCATTGGTTAAATCCCTTGTTACCAAGCACAAGGACCTAAATTTGCATGTCCAACATCTCGATGCACAATTGTAAACCCATTGTTCCTAGAACAAGATAGGAGCTAGAGACAGCAGAATCACAGTAGCTTCTCAACCAGTTAGAAGGTAGTAAACACAGAAGTGACCAACAAATATGGCAACAAATATGGCAAAAGCTAAGAATTGATACTCACGGCTGTCCTTTAACCACCACAAGTACATCATTGCATATACATATTCACACTCAGACTCATGAATATTAACAGATACACACCCACACAATAATGCACACAGAGAGGGATTAAGATTTCCTAGTCCCATCCCAGAGCTACTGAGTCAAACCTTCATTTTAAGAATCTTTACAGAACATCTTTAAAAGCAAGAAAATTTGGCAAGCCCTGAGCTAACCATCATCACACCTACCCTCAAGTGTTGGTTTCGTGGCATTAACTATTCTGCAAGAGACGGGCCAATTATGTAGTAGAACAACATACATTCTGGGTCTCCCTGAGGTATAACCATGCTTGCTCTTATTATAGCATATCTAAGGGCATATGTCTGGTTATATATGGCTATATATTTAGTCCCATCATTAAGGGACAGCTGGCAACAATCTGATTTGTGAAACACTCTTTCTTAGGAATTACATTTCTTGTGAATGTAATCTATGGGGTGACTTTCTGAAGACATAAATGTCTTTCACTCAGCCATCTGGCATTTTTGATGATTGTTATCTGATTCCTTTATAATTCTGAGGATTGATGATGGAAGATTATTAGATGCTGTCATTCCTTCCACTCACTCACTATGTTATATAAAGATGAGCTCTCCATTAGCAGGATGGAAGCAAGTGGAGGTGGGACCCAGCTAGTCAGGCAAGGAGTGGAGGCAGGCATGGCTCAGAGAAAGACAAGCTGGATTGTATGAGTTACTGCAGTATGAACAATGGCCGTCCTCCAGAGCAGACAAAGCGGGAAGTGAAACTAGATAAGAAAATACAGAATAGATGAAGCCAAGGGCACAAAGTACCAGTTCTATCTTCAGAGCAAGAAGATTTCCTAATCTCAGTCTGAGTCCAACTCCCTGGAGCCACCTTTCAAGATCATAAGTATCATACTTGGCTATTGTGTCGTGTCTTAAAGTCAGTAACGCTCACAGGGTGGGCCACGACTCAGACATGCTGACATGAGTCAGTATCAGTAACCAGGAGACTGACTAGACCTATGTAGCACCTCAGAGCTTACCCCAGATGTTCACAAGGTGGGCCATGGCTCAAACATGCTGACATAGCCAGGAGACTGACTAGACCTATGTATCACCTCAGAGCTTACCCATTGCCTCTAGTTTCATGAATCTCTAGTTTCATGAATGTCTCACAGGATGGTAAGTCTTGGCAAGTAGGAAAAATGCTGATTAAGTCACTGTGGTAGCAATTTCAGACCTGCCAAACCACAAATTCCCAAGACAAACACTTTCCTTGGCAGTCTTCGATGACTGTCATTCAGTCTCCCCTTGGGTTTTGGGAAAACATGCTGCTGTTTGGTCTGCCTGAATCTAGAGAGGCAGCGCTGCATGTCATTGACCTTCACGGCCAGTATGACCAAGTTTCTCATCTCAGTGATCTTTTGTAATCCTTAAGTCACTTCTCGATGTCTTAGACAACTTTTAACTCTTGGAGTCTAGTTAAAGACAAATGCAATAAGGCCCAAAGAGGATTTGGCTCCCAGAGCAACCTACATTAAATCTTTAATCATCTTAGCATAATGATAATAGAGATTTCATGTGCTGTGAGCCAGAGACACACCTTAGAAGACAACAAAGCCAGAAAGGGAGAAGGTCTGGAATTCTCTCCAGAACATCCACACGTTGGTAACCTTTGGTAACTTTCAGTAACAGAGGATTTTGTTTGAGAAGCAAATTTGGGAATCAAGGAACTTGTACACATTTGTTCCGTGAGCTTCCAGGGAATTATGACAAATTAAACACATTCTAAGACCAAAGCAGTCCCTCTCAAATAGCCACTGTTTTCAAACAATTGCTAATAATTTACATCTTGGTGTGACTCCAACAACCTAGAGTAGGAATCACTGGCCTTCTAATCACAGTATTGAAAGGAGAGAAGAAAACAGTTCTAGACTAATCAGTTCTATTGATTAAGGTGGGGTCATTTCACCTGGGGACAAACTAAGCACGACCATTCTTTCCTTACGCAGAAAGAACTCTGGTACTATTGGAATGCCCATCAGGTGTCCACAGAGGCTAAAAGAAAAGAGGAAATATGTGTAAAGAAATGTATAAGGGGTTGGTAACCATGGTGATTGTTTTTCCTGAGCTACTCTATGGAACTGAGCTGACAGCCAGAGGGTATTCATTTGTTTGCATCTAGGTCAAGTCTGTGCCCTACCTTACTCAAAGCCAAGCCACTAAGCAGGATAGCTCCCCTTTCCCCCAGTCAAGGTCTTGAATTCCTGGGCAAGGTTTATTAAAACAGTTTCCAGACTGCACTCAGCATAGTGCCTGGGGTCTAAACAATCTCTGACAAAATCTAACAATAATTGTCATGTCTGATAAAGTGAGCAGTCATCATATCCTCAGGCTCTGCTTCTCCATCCTCCAATACAAGGGCTGCGTGCAAAACAGGGAGAAAAGAACAATGAACTTCTCTGTCTTTGGCCAGAAGAAAGCTCACTGGAGAATTTCAGCCCAGAATTGGCCCTTAACTAGAGTATCTTGGCATCTTTCCTTACAAAATCAACTTGAGGTTCTGAAAGATGTCTGGGCCTGTCTCTCACTTTAACTCTTGAATCACATTGACTATAGGTAGCTAGAGGAAATTGTAAAGACCTCGTGTTCTTCAACATAGGAACAGCCACACTTCTGTCCTGAATTCCCTGGACCCTGGGTAAAGGATTAAGCTACAGGAACCCTTGTCAATGTTTTTGGCATTTCCCTGCCTAAGGAGAAAGAAGGAACTCTCAGTTAACAGGCAAAAGCAAGGCCTTCCCTTCCGTGAGTGCACCCCCACCACATACAGCTGGGCCTCCTCCCAGATACACTGCTTATACTCTTGATGTTCAAAGCTGATGCGGTTCTGGAGGTCAGGAGTATCAGCATCACCTGGGAACTTGTGAGAAATCATAGCAAGCCAAGCTGTACACAAACTTGCTAAATGAGAATTTACAGATCAATCCTCAGAATCAAAGGTACAGAAATTCTGTCTTTAAGCACCCTGGTCCTTTCATAGTTTTTCCACAACTCACAGTTATGATTTCATACTTTCTAGTAGTTCTTCAATGGCTGTATTTATAAACTAGCTCCATAGCATATCTATATGACACAGTGCACACCACAGGCCACCCAAAGCTGAAGGAATGATTTGCTAGCGTCTCTGCCCCTGGGATGGCTCTGCTGGTGTCTCCTCTTCTACTCTAGGTACCTAGTTGGATACAGGGTACTTGGTGCATTCAGCCACATCAGGCTTCATCTAAATGGAGATTCTTTTCTTCGTGTGCTTCAACTTCATGTCAATCGAAAGTCATGCTTGCTATTGAGTCAGCTGCTTGATGAGTTTTGAAAGCTGCCTGTTGTCTGACAGAAACAGCATAAAGGGGAACTTTGTGATGTCAGGTTTTCCTAAGAAGCGTATGGGTGATCGTGCAATCAGAGATGTAAAGCAGTACTGCCCTTGTTCAGAACTCTCAGGGGAAAAAGAACACAATCAAAAAAACAAGCAGAGGGGAATGAATCTTCAAAGTCAATTTCCCATCCCTTCCCCTGAAAAACTGAGGCCCAAATTTATAGACTGTCTCCAGATCAGTGTGACGCCAGGACTTGTATTCCCAAGGCCTCCCAGGCTGAGCACCGCCTTTTGGATAGTCCTACTTCTCAGATAACAGTGTCCACAGAAGGAGAATGATGGGGTTCCTGGGGACACAAACTAAAATGGTACCTCCAGATGGCCATCAGCCCTTGCCCGGCAAGTCCCTTGGAGTCAGAGGCCACCCTCCAGCTTGGTAGATATGGAGATGCTATTTTTCCCATGTGAGTACTCATCCTTTCTGTTCTGCATTGTTGTCTCAGAGAAGTGCACTAGAGGTGACTATGACCTAGATGTCCAAAGGCAAATGTGACATTCCATTCCTTTATGGAAGATCTCTTTCATGCCCTCCTAGGCTAACATGGTAAGAAGTGAGGGACACTGGAAAACTAGTCTCTGAGCCATCTGTTGGAAACCAGTGCCCCTCCATCTCTGTGGGTCACCTTCTCAGAACACTGTAGCTACCTTTCTCTTTAAGCCTCTCTGACCCCTGGCATAGTTTCCTCTCTAACAGAAAATGTTCTCATCAACCTCTTACTCATTTACATAAAGTCTATGTAGTCATTTATGATTATTATAGAAAGAACCATATGCAATACAATGTGGATAAATATACTTCTGCTTGTGCTCCATGTTTATACATAGTTTTTCATTATAGCTGGACAAAAACTTGCAATAAATCCATGAGGTCAGAGAACCAGTTTATTTACCATATCATCACAATCTTTGGAATATAAACACTAATTAATACAGAATTTCCAAAAACTGTCTAAGTATAAAGATATTTTCCACATATAATCACAACACTCAGAGAGGAACCAAATATGGAAAGAAAAACGTGCATATATTTATTGACTTTATTTGATCTCATGTTGACTTAAGGGGAAAACCAGTTGCTTGTGTGGAGAGGAAGAAAGCTCTTGATTGGGAGGTGGAAGCTCCACTTGTGGGTCTGAGTTCCGTGAACTTGCAGTGTGTCCCTGGTCGAGCCCTCTTGTCCTGTTTCTTGTTTGTGAGATATGGATGTTGACTCTGCTTCTCTCTTTCCTTCCAGGACTCCACTCCCAGAACAACTGAGAAGGTTCCCCTGAAAGGAGGTAAGAGCTCAGATTTAGGATGAATCATTCAGATACCATCAAAAGATGCAGTACCTGCTTATCAACAAGAAATGCCATGACTGTCCGCAATAGGAGTGGGGCGGATGGAGGTGGGGGCTGGGTGAGCTGAGGCTTCTGACTTATCTGGGTAACCCCTGATCACTGTTCCTAGCCGTACAACCTCCCACCTGCCTAACAAGACTCACCATTGGTGCAACCAGGCTGTGAACAAATCAGACTTAGAGAGAGACAAAGTGTCTTGCTCAATATCATAAGAGCTAAACAAAAATGTCTTTGTCTCTTAGGTTCTCTACATTCAAAACATCAGTCCCCACATAAATTCCACCCACAATTTCCAAAGCCTGGGTAGCAATCACAGATGGATAACCACAGAACAAAGAGAGGAAAGGGAAGCAGACAGGATAGGTATGTAGGCCTTCACAGACACCAGGGTAGAGATGCTGGGCATCCCTGAGACCAAATGACGTAGAGAAACAGACACAGGTCCTTACACCAAGAGCAGTGCACCTGTAGTTTCTTTCCTTCAGGGCATCCTCCTGGAGACTTAGAAAGTGTGGGCAAGGAGCTCAGGATGGACGAGCCTTCTGAGTGTTTTCAGACAAATAAAAAACCTTAGTCTGATGAACAACATCTCAATATTGACCTAAGTCACTTAGTCCCCAGAATGGGATCTCATTTCCCATGCCTGAACAAGGTAAAGTAAAGAGACCACAGACATGGTCTCTAGAGATCCAGACTGTAATAGTCCAGGCTCTGCACATCTTCTCATCTTGACTGAAATCTGCCCTGCAGTTTGCCATGATTAGGACAGACAAACAACTGTGCGGGCCTGACAGCATTCCCTCTAGAACTCATTTACAGAATGAGCAGTGGTTGGATTTGACCCGGGGACCAGAATAGCAGACAGGAAGTACATATAGTATATATAGTTAGAAGTCCTGCTAACTTGTTACATATGTTCCCTGGAGCTTTTCAAGGAAGGATCAGCTTCCATTGTCCTCTGCCACCTCCACTTAGATATTTCTCAGTACGACTGGAAGTTTCCATTTGATGAGGGGCAGGAGCCACCTCCCATAGAAATAGTGCCAATGACAAATACAGCCTTGATTAGGCATCGGGACCCCAGCCACAGTGAAGACATGTTGGTTTGTGTTTGTGGACACTTCAATCATAGGTTGCCAAGTACAAAAATCCACTCCAATTAACAGGTTATAGTTAGTACCAGATCACATGGAGTAGGAAATAAAGAACAAAGCTTTCCTCTTGCTAGTTAGTCAATTACACTTAAGGTGAAAACACTCTTTCTTGGAACTCACACCCTCCTGTGCTTTGGCGAAAATGCTCCTCCCTTCAAGGTAGGAAATTAATATAGATGGACACCAGCTGTTTGCTCTGTCACTTGTTTTGTTCTAATGATAACAAGAAGCAAAATAAAATCTGTCTTCTCTATGTTGCTCCCCAGATTTTTATTTGAGGGAGAAATTTCTTTAGTCTATGAGATCTGAAATTTGAGGAACTGTGGGTCTAACTGTTTAGAAGTCCCTTCCTTCCCTACTCATGATTCAGAGCATCAGAACAAAAAACTAAAAATGACAAAAGAAACTAGCTTCTGATCCAGTGTTTCTACAACCAGATTATGTTCATCAAGGCTGATGGTACCCTCCCTTTTCCCTACTTCCTTTGGGTAGGTCAGAGTACCAACCCCTAGAGCTAGGAGTACAGTCATGGGGAGGTGGGATAGTCTTATAATCCCATTTGTTGATAAGTTGCTGAGATCCGAGAAGTCAGAGTGACCCGGCAGGGGTTATACCGGAGACCACAGTGTGACAACTGTGAGAATCCAAGGCTCCCTCTGAGGAGCGAGCACCTGCTCTGTGCTGCCCCTGACGCCCACTTTTAATGCACACCTGCACTTGCCTTAGCTCTGCAAGCTGTGGCCACGGTAGCAAGGTGAGGGAGAAAGAACAACATCTGAGGGAAAAACCTGGTTCCTCACACCAGCAGGGTAGGTCTCTTTAGGAAAATCTTTTCTCCTCTCCAAACATCACTACTAAATATTCTAAAGGATTTGAAATTGGGACTGGGAAGAGTGTTCACTGCACAAACTTGTAGGTAAGTAAAGTGCCTACTGTAGCATGTGAAAGCTACATCAGATCCCATCGTCCGCAGAAAAACCAGGACCACCTGTGTATACTCATAACCCCAGCACTGAGAAGGTAGAGACAGGAAGATTTTTGGGGCTCATTGGTCAGCCAGTCTAACCAAATCGGAAGGCTCCAAGTTCAATGATAGACCTTATCTTAAAAAATAAGATAGCAAGCAATTGAGGAGGACATCCAGTGTTGACCCCTGACCTCTACACACATATACATATACATATACACACATATACATGGAACCTGGGAGAGCAAAGTGGACCAGACAGATGCTCTGAGGTTCTGGAATAAACACACACACACACACACACACACACACGTATATGTATATATATTACACACAGAAAAGAAGTAGCGGTGTTCTTTGACACTTCCTGCGACTAGAATCCTCTTGTCCTGTATACAAAGACAGAAAGAAACAGCCTGACACTTGTCTGAAGAAAATATGAAGTCACAGCCTCTTTCACCACCAAGCTGGGCTTCAGCAGAAACAAGAAGCAAATTGCTTTCTTTGTAAAGGAAAGAGGAGGAGCAGAAAAGGAGGATACTGCTACGAGACATCCCAGGCAGGGAAGACCTACCTTCCACAGTTTCTGGAAGGGAATCCCAGGGGTGCCATGGGCTTTGTCCCAAGGACAGAAGCCACAAGGATGGGAAGCCCTCAGTCATGACAGCTGCTCTAAATCTTCCACCTCCAGGAAACCAGCAATGACCGGAGCCTGGGATGCAGGCTCTGCAAACATACCGAAATACCCTGGCACAGGATATCCTTAGCTACAGGGAAACCACAGAAAACCACACCCATGTTGGTAATAAGTCCTACCACAAACTTGCCATTCCTGGCCAGGATAGGCCCCAGGCAACCACTAACTCGCACTCACCCCACTTGAGACTTGTGGGGCATTCTGAGGGCTCAGGTGAATTCATGACCAAACAGAAGCCCTGGGAGGCAAACCTTTCCCATATTCTTCTCACTGGGCTGAGTCTCTCCTCCAGCAGACAGAGGCAACTTGCCTCCTGCAGGGAGCCTACCATGGACACGAAGTGGAAGCAAAATTATATCTTCATTTTCCTCTTCACTGAACCTCAGAGCATCTGTCTGGTCCACTTTGCTCTCCCAGGTTCCATGAACTGATCCTACCTTCTCCACTTCATAGTCAAATGTTCTGCTTCATGTTCCTTGTGTGCTGGGCTTATTTGTCCAAATCTCAGATCGCAGCCCCCTTCACCTGGATTTCCCAGGAGTCCCGACAGAGCCTTGCTTCTTTGTATCGCAATGTCTGCAGAAAGATGTGAGACATGAAGGAAACCAGCATGGCGGCAAGGTATTCCAGCCCCTAGGAACTTCTCAAAAGCTAGCATACTCTATCACTAAGTTCTGGAACAAGGGGGCACTGCGGCTTCTGGGTAGATTTGAGGTCATGTGACCTGGGTTGATTCCATCCCTATCAGTAGAAAAAGATATCTTTTCCCTACAAAAGCTATATGGTTCATGGGACCCAGAGGGCTTGGAAGGCCGAAGGAAATGCAGACATTAAATGCAGGTTCTGGGGATCCCTTCTGATCACTATCCAGTCTGGTTTGAATTCTGCCTCCAGCTGAAAATGGACCCCAAAGACAAAGGACTAGCCTAGAACATGGCATTCTTACAGTCCTGGACTGGAACTTGAAGCAACTCAGTTTTCCTCCCAGTCTTGTGTTTCCCACTTCTGAGGGTTTATCTCATGGCTAAAGAATATGGCTGAATCCTGGGACAGGTGGATTTTGCTCCCAATATAAAAACTGAGAATTAAATAGCTATCCTAGAATTTTCTGACCATTTCATTATGTTGATTTTTTTTTTACATGTTTTGACAAACTGCCTCTTCAGCCTCTGCGACTCAAAGGGAAATAGGGGTTCCAAAGGGACTTAATGGGGTGGGGGTCTGTGAGAAAGGCATCCCAGGGTGAGAAAACTGAGCGTCCAAGCTGACCAGGCTCTCCCCAGGACTCCACTGACCCAGGCAGTCATGGCCACGAGCCATATGGAAGCAGCACCAACGACAGAGATGACAGAGTGGCAGCCTTCCTTTCCCTCACAATCCCTTCCCCTCAACAAAGTAAGAGAGCTGGCCCAGCTCCACTCTGAGGGATGGAGCTGTGTTCAGAAGACCTGAGTCTCCAGTTTGTTACTTTGAGGGACACTTTCAAGCAGCACATGGGGCGGGTGGGGGCAGTGGTAAGTTGCCTTTCAGCCAGTTACTGCACTGGCCACAAGGAGACAATCTGTCCTCCATTCAGTCCGAACACTCTCCCTAAAATCCACTCTGCCAGTCACTTTCTCTTACTCAAGGCAGAGCTAACAGGAAGTGAGCCCTTCAGACTGAAGTGCAATGGAGCTCTGGAGAGCCTCTTCAGGTTCTAAAGTCACCCTTCCTAATCCTCACACCCAAAAAGAATGAGGGGGGAGGGGAATACAGGCAGGGCAGGGGAGAGGAGAGAATAGGAAGAAGGTGGAAAAGTTGAAATTTGATGCTAGGATTGGCAGATACAATTTGCAAATCTCTAACCCAGAGGCTATGTCACCTTGTCCTATTATCCTAAAGAGCAAAGGAGAAGGATGGAGGAGGAAGAAGGGCTATCTAGACTTCAAACTGGTTGCTTTTTATACTCAGTTCAAGCCCCAGATACAACATCTATGATTCTGAATCCCTGCCAGCCAGGTAGCCTAGGCCCCAGGCCAGAGAAGAGGAACCAACTACTTGATACTGTTTGTGTGGTGTATAGCAGTATCAGTGTGAACTAGATAGCGGGGCCAGTGGTGTACCTATGGCATTCGATCCTCTGGCCAGCTGTTGAGGTATGTATTATTTTCACCTTGGAGAAGAAAGAACAGTTCAAAGAGGCCTACCTGCTTGCGCTAAGTCATACAGCTAGTGTGTAGCCAGGATGGGATTCAGACCGTGTCTGAGCCGGAGTCTAACTTTCTCAGAGTGTTTCTGTGCTTCCTCGTTGTAATAAGCTGAGCACTGTAAGGGCTCTTTAGAACGTTAGAAGAACTGGAAGGTGTTCCTTAAACACCAGGCCCAACAATGCCAGTTCAGCCTGCCTTCACTACACATGAACTCCAGATAGGCACTCCTTGAGTCAGTTATATTTACCGTACACACCACAACAGTTTGGGATTTGAAAGGCTTCCAGCCCCCAAAACCTTCACAGCATTTATGTGAATTCCAACTCGATTTCAACCTTTTTTTTTTTTAAACCATTGTTTTTTCTGTGTTCAACAACAAGCATGCTATTTATCCCGGGTTTCCCAAGTACTGTCCTGAATCTGGAGCCATCACCCATGAGTCCTTTACAAATGGCTTCTTACTTGCTCTTTATGTCTATATCATAAATGCTCTTGGCCTGGTGGCATTAAGGAAATGGTTAGATTTAAGGCCTGTGAAATGACCCACCCCTTTACCCCCAACTTGACCCACCAGTTTAAGGGTTTGCTTTGGTCCCAAATGCTCCTGATAGTGGAGTTTCCTCTAGATGTCGCTGTTGGGACTTTCCCCGAGTGCTCTCCAACAGAGCTGAAACTAAAATACAGGACTGTTTCTTCAAAGATTAAAATATTTCCAAGAAGTCTTTATACTTCCCCAAACGTATCAGAAAGCCTCGAACAATTGTTTACAGAATCTAGAAAGTCTAACCTGACAGGTAACTGCATGGGTTTCATTTTGATGGCGTCTCAGCCAGTCCTCTCTACTGGGCAGTGCCACGGAGCTGTGCCAAGGGAACAAGAGACAAGAAGAGAGGAACCTCACATTTGTGGTGTCTCTGAAAGCCATGTGCTGGACCGGTTGACATTTGTAATCTTGGTGTGTGTCACATCAGTCCCAGATCTGTGTTGCTACTGTTCTAACTTTGCTGGTGCCGAAGCTGAAATCCGGGAGAGGGAAAGATAGATCCAAAACTTTCAGTGGAATCACATGTTCTCTGGGAAGCACCATCTGCCTGGTCCCGACAGGAGAGGCTCTGCAGAGCATAATCTGACTACCATTTAGATCACACATCATCTGACTAGAAAACTGTTACCCTGACCTTTGACTTGACCGAGTTCTGAACACAGACTTGAAGCTACCTTCTGCCATTCTCCCACACTGCAGATAGGGAAGGCTTACCAAGTTTGGACAGGGCTCTTGAAGGCAGCTTCTGTTTCAAAAATCATACAAAATTCTTACAGAAGAAAAATGTTCATAACTTAGATTGCTACCAAGGTGAATATTTTCTCTTCTATCCCCTGGGGCTCTGAAAATCTGAACATGTGCAGACATGGTCTCCTACCTGGAGTTAGAGCAGCAGGCACATAAAACCTAAAAATTGGAGCCAGAACTGACTTCTTGGCCCCAGTTTCCTTATCCCAGATAGTTCTCATATTCTATTTCTCAAACTAAGCCCCTCTAGACTCACATTCACTGGGAAATCAGAGAACAGAGATTTACAGTCTCAGCGCCCAATCCTCAAAGCTCTGGGGCCCCTGCAGAGTTCCTGCTGCATGGAGTCCCCTCTAGAAATCTTTATATCCACAGTAGAATGTTTATTTTATCATTGATTCACAAGCTGATGAGACTTAAGCTACATGGCTGGTACCCCACACAACACTGTGTAGGTCATAACAAGAGTCCTGTGACTTTCAAAGCAACCCACCCAGTCCTTGATCAGCCCTGACTGGCCAAATATTCAAGCTTGCATCTCTCTGACTTGGTTATAACTTAGGATGTACTTGGTGTAGGTCTGTCTGCCACTATGTGTGAGAAAGTGCATCAGAGCGGTGTTAGTCACTGGCTGTGGGCTTTTTAATCCTTCAGAAACCACTGAGATCTCTGGCGTTTGGGCCTCACGAAGCATCTGTTACTCTCCTTCTCCGGTAATATGTCCAGATGTGAAAGAGCAGACATGTTGCCTCTGGGGTCTTCCTAAGCTCAACAGTGTGACTCTCTTGATAACCAGCCTCCTCCTTGAACCAGCTCCAGCAATGCCATTCTTAGAAGGAGAAGCCCATGTTTCTCCTTTCACATGAATTGATTCTTTAAGAAAAGCTAAAATATGCCTGCCATTTGTCTTCAGGAAATGCAAAATAAGATTGCTTTTTTCCATCGTTGGGTTTCTCAGAATTACAGCTGAGGTTACCCCACTATACATGTGAAGACCAAAGGGGGGAAAAACAGAAAAAAAAATATCCTGCATGTGTGAAAGGCAAGCCTGGGCTTGTACTTCTGCCACCATCCATTTGTAGACACTCAGCTCTTACAGATGTCACCACAAGCCACCTGATACAAAGGGGACTTTGGACAAGAGAGAGAGAGCCTGTATTTTATGTGACATCCTGACTCTAGTCAAGGGCATGAGTCCTACTTTCCCAACTAATGGTGGAACCTGTGAGAGGGGGGTCAGTGTTCCTCCTGTAAGGGTGGGAGGACAAGTCAAGCATCCCTGCTCACCACACCGATGTTTCAAGTACTGACTGAGTTGGTATCTACTGAAGGAGGTAAGATATGACCCCAGCAGCAAATGCTTATGAAGCATCTTCTTGGCTGAGCAGCAGAAGAGACTAAACAGCAGTCTCTGTTAGGGTGTGTTTCAAAGGACTTGATGGAGGAAGAGATTCCAGGGGCAGGAACAGGAGCTCTTGAGGCAGAAGCATATCTACGTGGTTGTTTGGGGGACCAGCAAGCCTCCAAACTCCAATAGGTGGGGACAAAAGTCTGTTTGGGCATTAGAGTCTCATTGGCTGAGTTTTAATCTCCACTCTCTCAGCTGTGTGGCTGAGAATAAGCAGGTTAACCTTTAAAGCCTAGAGTTTCTTATATCCATGATGGAAACAACTATAAACTATAAACTGTCTCTCACAGGACAGTTGTGAAAATGAAATGAAATCACGGCTGTAATGTGTTCAGTAAAGTGCCACAAAAAATACTCAACATTAGCTATGATGCTGGTAGTGATGGTGACCTTGTTCACTATTAAGACACAGTAAAAGGGGATGAGGAATGGTACAGGCTGCAGCTAGAGAGATAGGGAGGAGTTAGAACCCAAGAAGTCATGAATACCACTCGTGGGAGCTGTAGGTAACAAAAACCAGAGAGTGGTTACCAGCAAATAGAACCAGATTTGCGTCTGTTTCCTTCTGGTTGATGTTCTATAACAACTTCCAAGATTACAGTGGACAACAAGGAGTTTACTGCAGTCACGATGCATTAAAATATCACACTTTGGGATTGGGATTCTGATTATACACACCCATGTTTGTGTGCAGGGCAGCAGCAGGCCTCACAAGAACACTGCCCAGATGATGAGCATGGATAGGATCTAGAGAATGAATGCTGGCCGTCAGCCCTTGAGGAGCCAGATGCCCTTGTGGGTCAGCAGATGGGGATGGATACTGCCCCCACTTTTGCTGGGGCTTCCTCTGGCAGTGAACTTGCTCAGACAGCAGAGGGAACTCTTCACTCAACTTTGAACCACTCTCAGTTTCTAGGGATTTTTCTCAAATCTGGGCAGAGAAAGCAAGGGGATGGGTGGGATGCTCATACTATTCAGAGACAGAATAAGAAAGCACAGCAGGGCACAGGTCGTAGTGCATGAGCTTATTTTATGCCTGTCAGTCTCTAATGGCTGGACTGAGTGGTTATTTCTGGTGACATCATCAGTTTACAGACAGGGGAGTCAGGGCCCAAAGAAGAGAAGAGATTTGTTCAAAATAAATTGAATTCACGAGTCATTACAGGAAATGTATAACTTGGTTCTTATCATACAAAATAGCTTGTTATAATAAGAAAGAGCTATCATCCTTAGTGAAGACTTTAAAAATACTTATATTTCTCAGATGCTGTAATGACACAAACACTGTGTTTGCCTCTACCAAAGAAGCCCAGATGGGAGGCTTCCTGCAAGAGGCCATTAATGCTCTGTCCTCTTAAAATGGAGTGGGATGGTTTTTAATCTTTGTTGTCTAGCAGGGTGGTCTAAAGAAAGAATTCTATCTTCTGGAATGAGACAGATGTAGGGAATCCTCACATTTCCACCTGTTTACTTAGACTTAAGTATGTCCTTGAGTGTCTTCATAAAAGTTGATCCTGGCTTAGTCTGAGAACCAGATTAGTTGATGCAGGTAAACGTCGCAAGTCTAGTGTCCACACAGCAGGCTGGGTAGCAATAGCTCCATCAGTGTTGCTGTTGGGAAGACCAGTGTTTGGGCTGAAGGACATGAGATTCCCAGCTTCCCTCCACCCATTAGAGGTACTCAATAACACCTTTCATGAGGACTGTCAGAAATGGTGCCCAGTATACTATAGCAACTCGGATCATATTTGTTTAACTTCCATAATCTTCAATAACAACCTAAGTAGCAGTAATACATAAAAAATAAACTTCAGAAATGTGGAAATCTTAAGCCTTTAAGAAAAATGAAAACCAAAGTTTGGAGTTGTTCTAATTTGATCCCACAAACAGGGTAGTAAATGGCGTCTCCGAGGGTCACAGCAAAGGATCCGGCTGTCTGCAGCCCCAGAGAAGCACAAGATGATTCACACCTGATCTTGTTTGTAGGAAACTGCTCGGAAGACCTCCTATGTACCCTGAAAAGAAGTCCTTTCAAGAAGTCATGGGCCTACCTTAAAGGTCAGTAACCAAAGACAGAAGAATCTAACCCTGTAAAGGCCATGCCCTGTGCCAATTTCTACTCCAGAAGACCCAGTTAGAGTCCTCTAGCTAAACCTGGCCCGCGCATGTGCTCTTAGCTAACATCATACTTTTCATAAATTGAATTTGAATGCCTTAGAGGAAAAAGATGAAAGTATTTCTCTCCAAAGCTACAAGATTCTTCTTTCCTTAGCCCCACTTGCTGAAAACAAAATCAAAAACAAACAAACAAAAAAGTTTAGTTGTAGGTTTAGAAATGGCACAATTCAGTGGCACAATTAAAATAAGTAAATAAATAGCCAACCATGAGCTTGGAGGAAGTCGTGTTAGGAGTTGTCTAGTGAGCGGATATGACCACAGACAGATGGACAGACGTTCAAAAGCTCCCTCAGCAGGTAGGCCTCCTACCTGGCCTTTGAAGACACTTTTGTCCCTCACCTCCATCAGCTCTCCCTACTCCCAGTACCCCGCTGCTGTGCACCTGTCTTCACATTTGGGCCAGGCTTTTCCCCAGTATAAAGAAAGAACAACCTCCATCTCTACCTTTTCCAAGTTCTTCTCAGGGGAACCACAAATTGTCTGGTCCTCAGACTGACAGCTCAGTGAGCTCCTTGGAACAGGGCCTGTTTGCATGTTGTCCTCCAGGCGAGAGTCCCTGTAAGTGAACATGTAAGAGGCACTCAGAGCACGAAAGAATGAACTATGGAAGAGATGGCCAAGATTCTCTGAACAGCCATTTTGCAGTTAGATTAGTTTATACCTTTCAGTTGAATTGCAGTAAGGTTAAAGAGAAAGCTTTGAATCAATTTGAACTAGCACTCCAGCTTCCCAGGTCTGGGAGCACCTTTACCAGTCAGTGCTAATTTTCATTTGTTGGGACTCAGAGAACTGACTTTCACACAAACATTTTAGCTTAGAGGCTCTGGTAATTCTCTGCCTTTCTAACAGTCTTTGGTGACAGGCCTCTCACTGTGCACGTGAGAAGCCGTACAAGAATGCTTGACTGCCCTTTAAGGAAAGGATGCATTCAAAACTTCAGACCAAGTTAAAAGGTGTATCTTATTTTTAGTAGCATATGTCAATTGCCTGCGATAACAGGTTTCATTGTTGACAGTTTCATGCATGCACAAAACATACTTTGATTTTATCTTACACGCAAAAGTTAACAGGCTCTCCTGGGCCACTCAATACTGAAACTGAACAATATTGAGTGTCACAACTCTGACATCATCTTCAATGCCTACCAAACCAGTGGTCAACACTAAATGCTCATTCATGACAAATGACACAACAGCATAGACCTTGCTGCAAACTGCAGTCCAGGTAGGCAAAGTCTAAAAGAGAAAGGAGCCAGGGAAGTGACTTGGGGTAGAGTGATTGACTTGAAAGCATGAGAATCTGGGCTGGAGTACTGGAACTTTCTTTTTAAAAGCCAAGCATGGTTCCTCATGTTTACAATGCCAGGACTGCTAGGGAAAGGACAAGGGATCCCTGGAGTGCATTGGCTGACTAGCCTAATCTATTTGGCAAGATTCTGGCCAGTGAAAGTCTCTGTGTCAAAAACACAAGTTGATGGGCTAAAGAGATGGCTCGGCAGTTACGAGCACTTGCTGCTCTTCTAGAAGACCCAAGTTCGGTTGCCAGCATTCACATCAGGTGTCTCAAAACTGCCTGTTTTGAGTTCCATCTCTAGAGTATCGTATGTCCACCTCTGGCCTCCAAAAGCGTGCGCGCGCACACACACACACACACACACACACACACACACTGCATATACTCATATACATATATATATATATATAGACACAAATACAAATAAATCTTTAGGAAAAAACAGAAACAAGATACATAGTGTGTTAAGACTGATACCCAAAGTTGTCCTCTGTGCTAAATACACACTTATACATGTGTGTACCTGCACCTAAACATATTCATGAATCTAATACAAACATATATATACATATACACATAGACATTAAAAAAAAGTAAAAAGAAAATATCAACGATCATATGATGTGATAGAAAATAATTAAAACCATCTGTAGGTGCTGCCTTCCTTTAGGAAACGCTCCTGCTAGGTCTTTCCTTTTCCAGCAAGGTGTTGTATATGATCCAGCTCTCTAGCTTTGAGCATTAAGCAAAAAAAAAAAAAAAATGACAGGTGGTGTTCTTTCTGTGCCTTCCTAAATAGAAACAATGAGCTAGCTATGAAAGAATATTCTAGAAAGAGTATTTCAGAAGGTGTTAAATGTGTGGTACAGTGGGCAGTGTTCTAGATAGCAGAGTTGCTGAGTGGGGACCTTGGAAAACAGCTTTCCAGCCTGTACCTAACGTGTGGGTAATAATTCTGCTTCTACCGTTCCAGTGTCAAAACAGCTCAACAGTACCAAACTGTCATGGAACCAAGATGGCCACATTCATGGAGTCGGATACCAGGATGGGAGCCTGGTAGTCCAGTACCCAGGCTGGTACTTCATTATTTGTCAACTACAATTCTTCGTGCAATGCTCCAATCATTCTGTGGACCTGACATTGCAGCTTCTCATCAATACCACGGTCAAGAAACAGGCCCTGGTAACAGTGTGCAAGTCTGGAATTCAGACCAAGAACATCTACCAGAATCTCTCTCAGTTCTTGCTGCATTACTTACACATCAACTCCACCGTATCAGTCATGGTGGAGAATTTCCAGTACGTGGACACAAACACTTTTCCTCTTGAAAATGTGCTGTCCATCTTCTTATACAGTAATTCAGACTGAATAGTCACTCTGGGCCTTTAGGTAGAAAAACACTGTCTGCCAAACAGCACTTCATCTGTCCAAATGTGGGAAACAAGAGAATGTTAGTGCAACTGAAACTAAGTGTATGAATTAATGTACTCTCCTTCTGTCCTTTGGAAATACACAACCTTGAAACGTGAAGTCCCTTTCAGATGGAGAGTAAGGAAGGGATATAGTGTGTGGACAGACACTCACGTGGGCACTAGAAAAAGTCCAGTAGCCCCAGTCTAACCACTAATTCATTGTTTGATCTTGAACCTTTTTTTCCTCCCCCTGAAACTCAGGGTCTGAATCTGAAAGGATCGGAGGTGGGATTTGTGTCTCCCCAGTGTTTCCTTCATCTCAGAAGATGAAACTTGTGAGCCGAGGTTCCAGATAGAGTTCTGGAAGGTCCTAAACAGAGACAGGCCCCACATGTCATGATGAAACTGATACCACCAGGAGCGTCTCTCTGCTCATCATCTCAGCAGGGCCCAGGGACTTCCATGCTGCTTGTAGAATGATACTCTATGAGCTTGGAACGCCAAGGTGATGCTGTGTCTTATCTAGGGAGGACCTGCTGACATCTCCCGGGATGTGCATGTAGCATTCCCTGCTTCAAACACCTTTTAGTCCATTCTTCCTGCGGCTTTTAAGTCCCCAAGAAAGTTGTTGACAGACAATGAGTATTGTGAAAAAGAGGAGTCCTTCAGGACAACAAACAGCAAGAGCCTCTCCTGACCTGAGATGCCACTCAGTTCCCAAGTCTGATCAGGCTTAAGATTTTTGCATCATTGTGGGGGACAGACTTTGACAAATCATTTGAATTGATGTGGGAGCCCCTAGGAGGTACACTTTAGCAAAGAAAGCAAGTCCTGTTTGTCCTGTATGAAAGGATAGAGTAAAATATGAATTTCTCTGAAGTAAAAGAGAAGGAGAAAGTTTTTAACAGAAAGCCTAAGAAAGATCTAAAAGGATAAGAAGATAACTCAGCTGTTTGATATGTGAGTAGAACACAAGAAAACAAAACAGAAAGGAAGACTGCCTACAAATCTCCTCTCTGCTCCCATCCACAGGTATTGGACAAGGAATTGCATTGTACAGGTCAAAAAGAATCAAGTGTTGTGGACACAGTGCTGGAGAATAGGGAGACCTGCAGTGTCTGTGCTGGACGCAAATGTGGGGCAAGTGAATCTTAGATTAAGTCAACTAGAAAGAACCTTGTAGAAAAAGCACATGTAACCTATGTAAGAACTAAACAAATGTTCTACCCTCTCAGATTCTGAGTCAAGAAAGATTCCATTTTTGTTTTTCATAGACTATCCTCTGGGCAGAAGTACCTGACCTTTGCACTATAGTTTGATCTGTTTCTAATTGCAGTCTCTATAAAGGTTCAGAAAGGAGGGCACTTCAGTTAAAAGAAAAAGTGAAATTTAGCAAAATGAAAATAAATAGCAGATAATAATTATTGATAAGTCAACTGGAATGGAAATAGGGAGTGCACAATCCAGGGGTTACGATACTTTTGAGGGGACTGCCTGGCACATAGGCAATAATTATATTTTTCATTGAGGTGACAGAGTACCTGCCAGACACAACTGAAGAGAAAGATTATTTTGTCTCACACTTTAGGAGAGGACACAGTCCCCTCAGCCGGAAGACGTACCAGCAGGAGTGTGGGGAGCTGGTGACATTGGATCCACAGTCAGGAAGTAGAGAGAGATGGAGCCAGTACCCACCGCATGTCCTCCTTTTCTCGATTTATTCAGTCAGGGATTCTGCAGGGTACAGCTGCCCACATTCAGGATGGGTCTCCAATCCCTAGCTGAATCTCTCTAGAGACATTCCCATAGAAACAACCAGATGTGTGTCTCCTAAGAGACTTCAAATCCTGTCAACTTGACAACTATTGCCATCACGTATATGTAAGTGAGCATGCTTTTCTTTCTTTTTTTTTTTCTTTTTTCTTTCTTTTTTTTTTTTTGTTTTGGCTTGGTTTTGTTTTGTTTTGTTTTTTGTGTGTGTGTTTCAAGACGAGGTTTCTCTGTAGCTTTGGAGCCTATCCTGGAACTAGATCTTATAGACCAGGCTGGCCTCGAACTCACAATGATCCACCTGCCTCTGCCTCCCGAGTGCTGAGATTAAAGGCGGTGTGCACAGTTTTCTAACTGGATACTTAGGCGACCTAATACACATGCTTATTTAATAAAATTTCAGTGTTTTCCACACTATGCACTCATATGCTCCTCTTATACTCCACCCACAGCATGTACACACACACACACACACACACACACACACACACGCACACCCAGCCTCATCCCGCTCTCGAGGAATGGCTCCAGGTCTCCTGACTCCTGCTCTACTGTTCTCACCATGCTTTATTGGGTCTCCTGTAGCCGTGGTGAAGTTTCCGGTCCTATCTTTCCAGCCCTGCATCCAGGGAATCCTTCATCCCCCTTCTCCACCCCAGCCATCTCCATCTTCTATAGATTGGTCCATGACCAAGTCACAGAAGAGGGTTGGAGTTGTTAAAATTAAACTGTAGATGTTTGTGATCAAACCAACAGCACTTCTTGATTGAAATAATAAAGCTTATTGTTTAATTTGTACCTATTCACATGTATAAGTGTACATGCAAGTGTACATGTGTGTTTGTATATACACATATATGTTTGCGTATGCTTTTCCAGTCATGTTTTGTATAACATCTGCTTAGTCTGCTTAGGGGGAGGAAGCCTGACTCTTGTTTAAGCATGGCAAAGCTTGTATATGATTATATATTTATTTTTAATTAAGAAGAAAAGTGAAAATAGTATTTCTCCTAGGCTTCATCAGCTTATTTAATAATTATTAATATTTCACCATATTTACATCTGCTTCTTTGAAAATAAAAAATGCAGCTAGAGTTTAGCCGTACTCTCCCATCCCCCACACTCTCTCAAGGGCGTCATAACTGCTGTCTAGAAGTCTGTGCTTGCCTTTCATTTACATAAATTTACATTTATTTTCTAATAAGGATATGTAGTACAATTTTGTGTGCTTATAATTTTTTAATAAAAGATATACTTTATGTAACATTTTGTGACTTGTATTTTTTCATGTAACAGTAAAATTTTGAGGTTTACCCTGACTGACACACATAAATCTAGTTCATTCACTTAAATGTGAGATATTTATTTCCTTGTTTCAATATACCTTTGCCCATTCTCATAGGAAAACATTTCATTCACTTCTAAGGCTTCACTATTTGTTCCACACATTATTGCAGTGTGTGTGTGTGTGTGTGTGTGTGTGTGTGTGTGTGTGTGTGTGTAGCTCCCACCTCTCACTCTCATTTCTCCATACAAAGGAAAATGGTGGTTCCCATAGCTGCCAGTCCACCTTGGCTGTGAGGACATAAATACCCTAGAGAAGTGGGTCCCAGTCCCTGGAATCTGAAATGCCCCTTCCATCATGAGAACTGCCCTTGTCTGTAAACGCACTCAGCACTCTTGTCCTGAGCACCAGCGTACAGCAAGTCCCATGCAAGACACCCATGTGACCCATCATGGTGGAGCACATTTACACTCTATCTTTCCGAGGCAATCTGGGTCTTTTCTGGATTCCATTCTTTTTCTGGATAGTCACGGAGAAATACCAGCATGTATAAGGATAAAGAAAAGTCCCAGAAAGAGGTTCTTCTCCCAAGACCAAATGTCTTGATTCCTGGTGTCTGGTCCAGGTCACTTTTCCCCATCTTCCCCAGTATCTCAGGGGTGACAATCCACTTTTCTGTCTTTGAGTCAGCTTTCTCTGAGCTCTTGTAAAAATACATCCCTAACTTGCTTTTATCATTAAATCCATTTATGTGCCTTCAATAGCCATTGGACTCTAACCGTGGTTCTCTCCTGAGAATTTATACTGAAGACTGACATGCACCAGCCAGTACAGTGGTTTTTCTAGAATTGATCTTTCCAAACCAGAAGAAATATCTCACATTGCAAGCTAGGACCAAGATTAAAAAACAAACAACAACAAAATAACCCTTGTATTTACCATCTTGACTGTATGATAATCTCACTAGTCACACATTATGTTTTGTAAACCACTCTCATAGTAAGCAATCCAGATATTTGAAAGCTAAAATATACTTCCCTCATTCCAGAGGAGCAAGGACCCCAATGCAATTGAGTCCGGGACAGGCAGGACTTGGGAATGTTTGTCCCTCGATCAGCAAGTACAGCTATGGAGAGGCACTTGGATTTACTCTACATCTGTAGTGGCCGAAGTCCCAGTGTTCAGTTACTAGCAAAATATATCATGGGGAGGCTGGATCGAGCAGGGAGAACATCCATTCTGATCATGCAACGCTGTCGACAGCAGTGCAGCAGCTTCCTGGTTGAGTTGGTGTTCAGGTCATGACAGTGCTATGGTTCTAGAAGGGCCAGGCTCCTGGTTGCCGGATTTTGAGGAGGTGACTGTTGCTATGGCATCTCACGTCCTGGGAGCGGCTGTAAAGGTGTCCCTGTAAAGGCCCATTCTGTTTTGCTGGTCCTATTTATAGCACTGTGATCAATCTCTTGTTAACCTTGGTAATGTCGCTAGCATGAAGTCTGTTCCCTCCCATGATTCCTTTGGGTACCCTCTCAATATGTTCAAGCTGGCTGCACTCGGCCACTGTCCTCTTCTTGGTGGTCTTTCCTACCCAGTCAGCATCTGACCATTCATCCAGTATCTCATTCCAACCACTGTCAACTCACTCACACTTTGCAAAATCCTTCCCAACTCACACCCTTGGCGGTCCTTACAAGCCCCTCCCCAGACAGCATTTATAAGTGAGTGGTGTCATTCACCCAGTTCTTCCTGGTTGGCCATTTTCCATATCCACATTCATTTTTTCCTCAAACCAGCCTTAGGAGTAGACAGCATTACCCTTGTGCTCCTACCCTTGTGGTCCCGATAATGACAGAGTTCAAACCTCTGAGTGCATGGTCAACATCTCCCAGCCAGCAGAGGGTAGAGTTTAATTCAGGAGTCACACGGACCTCTCCTTTATACCTGCCCCTCCTCCTGTTGCCTTTGCATAAATCACTTTGAACTCCTTCCCATCTTCCCATTACTCCAGCCTTCCATATTTTCCCTGTCACCATTTCCATGGAAGCTTGCTTCCCATTTTTCTTTGCAATGCTCTCTTCCATTTCCATGTTTCTTCCGCAGATGCCTTCTGGTTCTTCTGCTGCTCTCCCGACCCCAGTGACTGCACTCTTCTTTGCATCCCTTGGTTATCTCTACAGACATCCCCACTGACTTCCAATCCCAGAATGCACTAGGAGTGCACAGTCAGCCTAGTTTCTGGGATGTGGCAGACAATTTATTGAATATTTTATAAATGAATATTGAAGAAAGTCATTTAAAGTCAAAGTCCATTTTATGGAAAGGACATTGCCTAAGACTTCCTGTCTCCATCTCCACACTGAAAAACAACCCGAACATAGGGGTGTAACTTGAGTGTGCTATGTGCTGTCTTTCTTATGAATGATTTTCAACACTCAAGGGAGGCCCTTTAAATAAAGATGACGTATACAGAAGATAGCATTCCCCTGTGCTTTCCAGGAATTTGGAAGGGGAAAAGACCATCCTTCCTTACCTTACTGGATGGTTCCTCTAGGCAAACTGCAGTGTGTATGCTGTGGAATGATGCACTTCCCTCTTCTCACTCTGAGTGAGGTTTGCTGTTTTCATCATATTGATATCAGAAATAATTAGTGAGGGGACTAACTTTAGAGAGTTTTATTACCTTTTGGTGGACCTCTGAATCAAATAAAAGTTGTAGGGTTTTTTTTAATCCTAAAATCTTAGACTCCACACAAGAGCAATAATTGTATTGTTTATATAATTATATAAATCTATATATAATCATATAAAATATAGTTATATTAAATTATAATTTCTAAGGTTAGACTCTAAGAATCAGCATTATTTTACATTCCCAAATTTTAAAACAAATTTAAGAATTAATGGTTTTGGAGGATGGGAGTAAGGAGAGTTATAGGGAGTGTGTTAATCAAAGCTAAGGATGTGTGTAAAAGCTTTTGGAGACCTGCTCCATATTTGTAAAATAATTACAAAATATACTTTTAAAGGCTATTGAACAGAGATATCCTGTATGGTGGACAATGCTGCTCCCAGAAGACACGAGTTAATACATAAAAATCTCAGTGCTTGGCATGAGGCCCCAGCACTCTCCAAAACAACACAGTCTCTTGTCGTTGCTCTTAGTTTTCCATCATAACTAGATGATAAAATCCAATGAAGGCACCACACTCTCTGCTGATACAGAGGAATCAATCTCAAATTAGCCAGGAAACTACCTCTATACTAGCTAGCTTTCATAGTGCCAAAAGGTGCCATATTTAACAATGAAGAAAAAAGACATTAGTGATCTTATCTAGTT